GGAGATGCACTGGAAGATGGGATGGGCCACAGGCAGGATAGCTGATCCAAACTGGCCAAAGGGATATTCCATAACATATGACATCATGCTTACCACATAAACTAGTGGGAAAGCTGACTGGGGGCCCACTGCTCAAGGACTGGTTGGGCATTGGTTAGTGGGTGATATGCAATTGCATTGTGCACCCACTTTTTTGTATATTCTTGTATTATTATTTTAGTTTATTTAAATTATTAAACTTTTCTTTTCTCAACCCACACATTTTTTTTTTCAGTTTTACTCTTCCAATTCTCTCCCCCCTCCTACTGGGTGGAGAAGAGTGAGCAAGTAGCTGTGTGGTGCTCAGTTGACAGATGGTGTTAAAGCACAACTATTATTTATCATTTTCATTATCATTTTTACCTTTGTAACTCTGGGTTTCTGTGGATCGATGTAAACATCAAGCTCTCTTCTCCCTCTTTGATATTTAAAACCCCTACATGTTGCATGGCTTGGTGTGGAAACTAGGATGCATCTGGTCTAAGCATTGCTGAGTCCTTCACTACACCAAGGGAACTTTGTTCCCTTGACACATATCAGTGTCATTCAGGGAAACAACTAGTTTTTAAGAGACACTGAATGTTCCAGTAGATGCAAATGGCTGATCCAAGTGAACTTAATTACAAAAATTCCAGATTTTCCAAGGAAAACTAAGGATTCAAGTGAAAATTGCAGGATAGAGAGCCTCTCTTCTCTTTTTAAAACTTTGTTCCCTTGGTAGTTGGTGTTGGTAGCCAGGCTTACCATGTCCTGCATGTTTAGGGTTGTGTTGGTTTGTTTTGGTTTTTTTTTTTATATGAGATCTAAATCAACAGAAGATTACCGAATTATATTGTTATGATTTACATCTCTGTTCCCAGTGGTTCTCTGCTAGGTGCTCTTAAGGAAACAGAAGACTTTTTACATGGTTTTTTTGTGCCTTACGTGATGGGTTTTGTAAATGGTCCTGTAGTAAAACATCAGCTGCTGGTTTTTCCCCTAACTGCAGCTCCCTTACCATACTTCTATACAACAGATATGCAGCAAAGCCACATACCTCAGCTCAGAACTCTTTTAAACCAAACCCTTTACTTCTAAGGTGTATCACCCTGCACTTACAAACATTAGATTTCTTATACACCTGTTACAGTCAACCTCTTAGTTCATCTAAAAGGATAATGGATGTCTTGGGTTCTTCTAACACATATCAGTGTCATTCAGGAAACAACTAGTTTTTAAGAGACACTGAATGTTCCTGTAGATGCAAATGGCTGATCCAAGTGAACTTAATTACAAAAATTCCAGATTTTCCAAGGAAAACTAAGGATTCAAGTGAAAATTGCAGGATAGAGAGCCTCTCTTTTAGTCTTAAAACTTTTTTGCCCACTTGCTCTTTCGACTGAGCACACACAATCACAAATCAAAAAGTAAACACGTAAAGTATTTACAGAATAAAGTAGCAGAATACGTATAACACATTACATGATTTGTAAAAGATCTGAAACATCTACAGATTTTAACTAGGAAGAGAATATATGAAAAATCTTTAATTTCCTTCCATTCTTAACTGCTAAATCTCTGCACATCATCAGTAGAATTAGCCACAAGTGACAAATAGGTAGATGCTTCTGTAATGTCAATCTGATACTTAGGTACTTACTCAAACCCCTAAGTATGTCAATGCAAGGATTCTTGCATGATATAATGAAACTGATCCTCCTTAGGAATAATTAAACAAATCTTCGTATCAGATGAAAAATTCTTAGTTAAACACTTAATGCATCTTTGAGAAAATGACTGTTACAGAGTTCTCTCCACTAGAGGTCTCTAGAGAAATACAAAAAATAATTCAGAATAGCAGATACCTTAGACTTTTCTTCTTGACACTGTTTACATTTCAGGGAACTAAATATTAACATTTGTTCTATACTTGTTCCAGGTATTTCTTTGGATATGCTTATTCTGATATGGATAATTCAAAGTCCTATTACTACAATAATAATTCACATCTACGATGTGCTTTAATGTATCTTATGATTAGATTTGCAACGTTTATAATTAGAATTTAAACATCACTTCCTTTAGGAAGTATAATATCATACCAAGTATTTAGCTAAAGGAAGAAAAAACCTAAGGTGGCTACTTGATTGTGTAGCCACCTTGCTAAATAAAGAAAAAATAAAGTAGTAACAATCGCAAATGAATAAAGTCTTGGTTAACTAGAACAGTATTTCAGTTGGCAAATCAAAAAATTATGACTCTACCATGCTGTTCAACAAGCCATTATATCCCAGGAAAAACAAAACCATGGCTTTATTGTTTGTTTTTATCATCGAGCTAACATGAGCATAAAAGAAGAATAGAATTCATATAATTGGACTCTTTTATCTTCTTAGTATTTTCCGGTTTGGGTTGGGGTTTTTTTCACTGTAAGTTTTTAAATTTTAAGATTGTGCAGTTTACAGTGGGTTGTTGATTTTTGAAATTGTAATTTCCAGTTAAAGATGAACTTTATCCATTTTAGGACTTATGCATTTTTATACCACTCACCAGAGCAATTCATTCAGTAGTTTAGAGATTTTTCAGGAAGTCAAACTTGTGGTCATTACATTTCCCTCATGCTATTTTATTTCAGTGAACTTTACATCTGCATTGACTCATTTTTTACTAACATTTGCCTCATTACATATAATGATGTCTCCAGGTTACTGTAAGATTTAATGTTGACTATTCTTTAATTTGGTTAATTAATATGACTTCATATTTGTATACTTCTTCCTTACCATTTTCTGTGCCTCTGTTACATGTTTGACATATAACAATCCTTCAGACCTTTTCTTCTGTACCTCTGAAGTGGAATGGGGAGTTTTATGACATTAAGGTATGGAAGTGGGAAGTTGAATGGTCTTAGAATCACTATTTGTTCCCGTTACATTCAGCAACTATCATTATCAAAGAAAAATGGAAACAGGGAAGAGTAAGTTGTTATTAATAAGAACTACCAGTTTAAGAAATATAGCTTACTCGGGCATTAATACCAACAAATCGTGTTCTCTACAATTTAAGACTGTGTCACTCCTCAGAAACCTGGAAAAATCTGGAAATAAAAATACTTGCCCATTCAAATTGCTCCTTCTTTAACTGGGGTGGATAGTTCAGTAAACAGGAGCTCAAAGTGCATGCAGCAGTTAGTTTCTGCTCATTTTTTGATGCTACCTGTTAAGTGTGGAATAGAAGAACATGAGGTATGCTGAGAGTTGAGACACTCAGGAGGGAGGCACTCCTGAGAAGGCAGGTTACTGGGACAGTTCTGAGACTTTCTGAAGTTTGTCAATTTACTTTAACAGAGTATCTTCTAATTTTTTCATCTGTAGAATGAGCACTGTAAAGGGTAGTCAAGTGATGCTAATGAACAACTTGAAATGTCATAGCTAGACATTTAAGAGATGATATTTCTCACTGTATTTCTTGCTGTAAAGACCAGAAAGAGATAAAAAGCTCTAAGAGGAATAGAAGGAGCACAGCAGTGACATAGTCTTAAAACCTGTAATATTATATCACAGAGTCGACCCATCACCTCCATCAGCTGATCTGACAGTGATGGTTTTAGGCATGGAGTTGTACTAAGTTCAGGCACAGTGAATCTGGAGATGCTGATACTTCCATGACCTATCTCGAGTCATTTACAAGTAGGATGAGCACAGGCTGCAGTAATAAAAAAGTCTCCTTACCATTTAACCAAATGCTCCCACTTTTAAGCTTACAAACCTTGAATTTCTATGGTTATATAAGATGTAATCTTAATCATCAAATGTCTATAGACCTATGTCTAGCTATAATCTTTAACTATAATATATATAGGTAATAGTCACTGTTCCTGCCCCATTTGTCTCTGTTCTATAATGAGAAGTTGGTCCCTGGTGTGTCAGTCCAATACACTCAAAATTCATCCATTTCCAGTTACTCACATAACCACCCACTGTAGTTTGGTGGAAGAAACTACAGGAAAGTACTGTCATTGGAACTGACCTGACCTTCATAAGATCTGAAATGATCTATAGACTATACGTTGGAATTGCATTCATATGTGAACACTTCTATATAAATTCTTAGTGTCCAATTTTTTCCTTTGTCACAAAACTCCTGGATTGATGTCCAAACACCAACTGTCTCTGGAGAATTAAGAATGTCACTTCACTGGTGGCTTGAGCCTGTCACTTCACCCTTCTGTCTCAATTCCCTCATTTACAGCCTAAAATTACATTTTCCATTTACTTCACAAGAGGCTCCCAAGAATTGTAGAAAAAGATACATAATCAAATTTAAAATCAATTACTCAGTGATTTTTATATGATTACATAAAGCTCTGAATAAAGGCATTATGTAATAGCAACTGTTAGAATGAATGTTTACGCTAATACTGCATTTATTGTGTAACAAATTCATAATCAGAATGTGTGTTAATACAGCTTTTTTTTTTTTTTCAAGACAAAAGTGCTATTTCAGGTTATTGGTAACAGTATTGTTTGGAACTTCCATCAGCTTGACTAGTTAAACAGCTCATAGCTGATAACTGTGAGGACATGGAAAACAAAGGAAGTCAGTGCAGTTCTTATGGGAACAGGCAGCATCTTCCTCTGGGTTTGAACAAAACCACATGCAATGATCACGACCTCTGGATGCTTCAGTGCTATAAATAAACCATAAGTCGAAGTCTGAACTTTTCAAACTTTCTCTGCTGTTGTGTCAGCAGAATAAAATGCTAAGCTTTCTGTAATAAGGAATAAATTAGTCAATTGGGGATTAAAAAAATATTTTATATGGTTAATGTATGGTGTTAATTTAGGTTACTGAAGCTGCAGTGAGAGCATGCTGTTCTGAGGAGGGTGGTATGAAGTTTCAGGTTAATCCTGTGGTTCCCTCCCACCACCTTCCAGCATGTATATAAATTGTCAGCTCTCCAGACCCTTTGCCAGTTCTCTCTTCTAGACTTGCCAGAAGCAACAGAGGACTAAAGATGAAGATCTTTTTCTTATTCACCTTTTCCACTTTTTTCTTGTCTGCTTTTGAACAAGCAGCTGCTTCTGCTCACTATGACAAGATTTTAACTCATAGTCGAATAAGGGCACGCGACCAAGGGTAAGTAACTGTGTTTTGTTTCTATTTTAAATGGGTGCTTGTTAATCTTTATTGTCTTCTTTCTTCTCGCATTACTTGAAACGTGATTTTTCACTACGAATTCTTACTATTGTTCAAGTAGATCTTTCTTTCTCAATTAAGTTTACAAGAATTGATCCTAAATAAAAAGCTTTCTGGGGAGTTTCAAAAGGAGACAGAATACTGTTAAACTTTACAAAATATGGAAAAATTTAAATTCACCATTTCCCGATGGATAAAATGCATGCATTTTAGAATCACTGAAGTTAATTACAGTTCACAATTAATGTAATGGATCATCAGATATGTTCAATATATATTTTAAAATGTTTGAATAGAGTTGACATATATCCCACAGCATTTGTACACTTTAGTCCACCCTAATGAATATCATAAACTCTATTTAAATGCTTTCTAACATGGGAATGTATAAATGGGAGCTCTTTGTAAAACTTCTGTTCCCACTAGAATAATGTGGCAAGCTGCTCGGCAGGGTACCTCAAAGACAATGCTTACAAGCCAGGCTGCTCAGAGACATGGAAATAATTTGAACAGCTGGTGTCAGGGAGACACATGTGTTTAAACATATTTTCCTTCAGTCTTCTTAAGTAAAAAGCATTCTGTGAATAAGAATGTTTTACCATCCTATCTTCCTTTGTTGAATTCCCTCTGCCTGGTACACACACACACTTCCTGAACTTTTAAAATAAAAAGGTTCACTGGCTTCCCATTGATGTAAAATATATATTCTGCCTCTTGAACAGATGTGTGGGGTTTGTTTTTTTTTTTTTTTCACTGTTGAAGTATAAAAATCAGTGACAAACTGCCTTTGCTTCATGGAATTTGCCATTAAGAAATTCCTCTTCTGTACACTACCATGCTAAGGAAAAAGCATTACTCATTTGAAATCTGTGACTCCTTTTATTTACATGTCAGTTTACCCTTTGGTCACCAGTAATTCCCAGAATGTTTACTTAGGTGCCTGCGGTATTCCATATGGTTGGTAATCAAAATAGCTGATTGATCTGCAGAAGACAGGGTTTCCTTCTACATAAAGAACAAGGCACTTTTCTTCCCTATCTCCCCATGACCTTCAGCTGCACAGATGTATACAAGACAAAAAATTTAATGAAAAGAGGCTGATGGTATTCACAGCTTGGTCCCTGGTGGCTGGTAATTAATTCACTTTGCAGAGGGAAGGGAGAGCATATTGAGACTTGACTAGGCACAGCTGGCGATCACTGCCCAACAGAAACAGTGGGTCAAACCAGAAAGGAGAGGAACCTTCTGTCCCCGGTGGGAGGGTGGGCTTGCCAAGGAACCCAGCTGGGCAGTCCTGGGAGCTTGCACTGTGATCGCTTGAAAACACACCTGCCCTGGGAACTGAAGCCAGGTGTTCATTTCTAATTCTTGCTCAATGAAACGATATCTGACACTGTTTTAAATAAAACTTTTCCAAAGATGTACAGAAAATTCTTTTTAAATTGTTTCTCGCTCCCACCCCTAGACCAAATGTCTGTGCCCTTCAACAAGTTATGGGAACAAAAAAGAAATACTTCAGCACCTGCAGAAACTGGTACCAGGGAGCCATCTGTGGAAAAAAAGCGTAAGTATGTTCTGTTATAAAACTATTCCCCATTTGAGAGATTGTATAATGTACGATAGTATAATGTATGATTAGAAAACTCTCCTTTTCTCAGAGAGAAACTAAGTTTGTTTCAAATGCAGACACAGGAACAATTCAGTTCATAATTTTACAGGGTTACACACATTCTCCTAAATGCTTCTAAAACCATCTGGATGACTGATCCAATAATTGTTGCCAAAAGTAATCACTAAAGGAGTGGAAAGTCTGAAAACTACAACATAGTATATAGTCTTTTCTAAGTTTAAGAGGCTTCAAAGTAATAGTTTCAGCAATACTTTAAGTATTCATAGCTCTGACCTAATAGGCCAGTTGTGAAAAGTACTTGGCACTACCCAGGGGAGCTGTGTGCTCAGACCACACCTCTCCACAAAGAAAAAAAAAAATCAAAATATAGTTGTGGCTACAGATTAAATCTGGGTGAGTCTGGCACCCTTTTGGAATCTGTGTGTACATGTCACTTCTGAGAAAGCAAGTCATTGCCTTCTCTGTGACAAAATGTCGAAGTCACTACTACTTCATCATCCACAGAGCAAATTCAGAGTGTAAACACACAGAAAACCTCCCGTTCTGAACTTTTCCCACTTGTCTCACTTAGAATTAAGTAATTTAACAGAGACTGACTTTGTTTACCCAATATAATAAACTAATGTTTTTCTTGTGTACCATATTTTCTCTTGCTATTATGCAATTACTTGGATAAATTTCTCAGCAGTTGTCACAGGAAATCATTATTTTTATTTTCCCACTATTGTCTTACAAGGTCCAAATAGGTCTGGGGTGACATTTTCAGAAAGGCTTGAGTGAGCAAGGAGTCCAGGCTTCAATTGCTACTCTGTCTTAGGGTACTAGAGGTCTCTTAAGGAAAGCCTGTAGAACTTTTCCAAATGCCACAGTAATATTGAAGTACACAATTTGAATAGTCACTGGGATGTTGCATGCCCTAAGACATGAACATGTTATATTGATAAATAGTGTACGTTATATGTAACCTAACTTAATTTAAATTAAGATTTGTATTTAAAATTTTTCTGATGAAAATCAACCACTGTTTCAGATGTTAATGTAATGTAGAACAGAGATTTTTGTTTCTGTGCCAAAGGCTTCCTTAACAGAGGTTAATATGGAAGAAATATATCCACAGTGTTAGTAACATAAGCCAGTCAAAAATGACTCCCTTTGTAAACAAGCTCTTAAATTATCTTGAAAATATTTTTCTGATTAAGAATAATTCACTAAGTAAACTGGAAAGGAAAGCTGGAACAAGTAGTGACTGAAAATTTGTAATTACTCATATTTTGAGTCTCCTGATTGTCAAATTCATGAGTAAATAGAATCCACATTTTCCAGTCCATTCTTCAAGATTTAAAAAGTGTTTCTAAACATACAAACAATGCTAAATTAAAAAAAAGATAGTTATGTTTGACTTCAAACAATTATGCATATCTCACTTTGAATCCATGTGAGCTTTTACAAACAGAACACTTTTATGTTAAAACTGCAACTGTAAGACCTTGTAAACACGTATAAAATTCATTGGACAGTGCTTTACAGAAAATCAAAGAATTCTACACTGACAAAGAACTAGATGCAGACAGAATCTGAGTTTGTGCTGAGAAATAGAAAGGACACCAAAAAATGATGCACTGTGCATGCATCATTAGCAGTGCTGATATGGCTACAGTCTCTCATGCTCTTCAGAGCATCTATATACATGACACTTTCACAATTAAAAAAGTATCCTTTTCCTATTTTTTTTTCATTTTTCTTTAAAGTTATCTTTATACTTTGTTTCATTTTTTGGCTGGTTCAGCTGTCCTGGCTGACAAACAATTATATTCGTAGTTCTTGAGCATGATCCCTACGCTTACTAATCTAAAACTGATTAAGGCTCACAAATTATTTGTAATGGGAAAAAAATGCCTCCAGTAACAATTTTTGCACTGTTAAAATCAGATACGTAAATCAGATAGTAGTTAGGCAAGGACGTGAACTAAGTTTGGATTGTGGCTTCTACTGCTCCTGTTGGGTGTCAGAAGCTTTGCATTTTTTGAGATTCCTGAAAGATGAATACACACTGTTGGAAGGGATCCTTAGGAAAAAAGACTGAGAGAAGATAGAGCAGTAGGAAGTTTTCTTCCATTTTCTTTCTGAGAAAATGTTTTTAGTGCTCTGACAACATACCATAAATTGATGGAGTTGAGTTATACTTCTGAAATGGTAAAACACTGATTCCAAGACACAGTCTTGCCTTTCAAGCACTGCCATGGCTTTGAAGTCTCAACTCTGAAATCAGTCTAGACATGAAGAACGATACCGTGGCCCCACTAGAGCCAAGAAAAAGACCTGATTTTCATGGGCCAAGCTGGCACCTAAGCTTTCTGCTGTTGTAAAGATTGTTGGTTACTATTTACTTACTCAAAAGTGTTGAAGAAAGTAACAGTAGTAAGTTAGAGTGGATGTAGCACAAACCATAATGAATATCCAACCAAGATAAGCAATCTGATTATTCTAAATCCCCAGAAGTTTCTTTGGAACTGGAACCCTAACCAGTCTCTTCCATTTTGATTTTGGTTTTGTTTTTATAAGCAAATCCAGTCAGGTTAGAAATAATTTTTCATTCAAATTTCGTATTTGTATGCATTCAATGATGGTAATAATGATCAATTTCCAGTCAGACTAGACTGTGTATGGTCATTTGCCCCACCATTACCTTAATTTTTTTTGAGGACCCATAGATCTTTATCAGATCTTTCCTTCTCCTCCAGGTGGCATTATAATACTGACTTCCCTTTTCCTTCCATGGACATGCTGCAAGCCATCCAAAATAGTGAACCTTTTGAGTGAAGTCTGCCATACCGCTGACATTTTTGGCAATATGTTTTACACTAGTGCAGACACATTGGGAAGAAGGGTATTTCCTGAAAATGACTTAGGCTGAAACTTGAATATTCTTAAAGCCAGTTTTGGAAACCAACCTACTCCTGTGGTTTTATTCCTAGATAGATGTCATGTCTTCTCATGAGAAAAAGTCTGCTCTCAGCACAAATCTGACAGGGAATTCATTACTCTGCTGAGCTCTGGAAGTACAAAGAGTTATGTGGTGATAGGTACCCAGGAAAAATATTTTGAAGCAACAGGCAGTTTGGATTCATTGAACTAAAGTCAGGTGACGTCTTCACTGACTAGAATTTAGAAAAATCTAAGCTCTAAAATATTTTAAAAAGCCTGTGTAAGGTCCTAAGTAAGAAGTCAGCTACAGCCAACCAGAGGAATGTCTTTTGCTGTGAGGCTGGCTGGATTTGAGCATGAGAGTCTACAAAAAACATCACCTACCTCTCCCTCTTCTTTTAGCACTCCTACAATTGTACAAGCACCCACAGAACAAGGCCAGAGGGGGAAAACAGTGTGTATGACAGTAAATTAGGTCATAGAACTCCTGAGAGGTGTTTGTTTGGGTTTTTTTTTTAGTGACTGTAAGAAAGCATGTGTTACAAGTTAGTCTTAGCTGTCAGTGGGAGTTTTATACCCTGTGTACTGAAAGCAGAAATGCAGACATGACTAAAGAGGTTACTGTAACAAGAATGCTAATCCAAAGGACAATGGCTCTTTTCATGTTAGTATCCCCATGATAACAAATCCTCCCTAACTTGTATATATGACCTATAAATTGTTAATTTAAAAATGCTTTTATTATTTACACTTCCTACCCATTCCTGTGAACTTCCAACTAGTATGAAACTTAAAGATTAGCTAAAATCAAAGCCTGTTGTTCCAGAAGTCTTTCCACTGATTCTCTGCAGTATTTTGTCTCCATGCCAGCAAGGTGTAGAAACAGATGAGTCACAGAGTTGATCTGAATAAACTGAAAACTATCTCTGTTAGCCAAGAATAATAGGACATAAGGTAGTGTTGCACTTCCTCTTCTTCCTTTGGAATATACTCCTTTGGATAAGATCAGAACAACTCTGTACTAAAAAAAACCCAAACAAACAAACAAACAAAAAACCCCAAAACAACTAACCAAAAAACCTTACCCCAAAACAAAAAACCAAAACAAACAAAACCAAAAAAAATCCCACCCTCCAAAAATTCAATAATGCAGCATGTCTTGTTATCCAACTAGCTGTTTCCTTTGCTTTGGCCCCTTTGTATGTTAAACTAGAAAGGAGATAAAGCTGAGGATAACTTATGGTGTGGGATGGTACTTCCCTGTGTACTCTATACACGAGTGGTGCTGAGGAACTGAATCTTGCAGTGAGTTTTTTCTGGTTCTAACCTTATTGTGGGATCTTCCATAAAAACCTCTTTTCTCCCATTCCATCTTTCTCACTACATTTTGAGCACAGCTGATACATGGACTTTCTAATTGCAGTCAACTGTAAAGGAACACAAATAATCTAATTGGGAATTTACGGTAACCCTTGATGACTGAAAAAAAAAGCCTGGGCTGTACATAAAAAGTTACACGGTAAAAAAGGCACTGATCTTGCAATGCTTGGCTGAAGAAACATTTTTTTTTTCTTAACTATGTTCTTCAGCCAATTTTCTGCCTTTCATTAATTGTGTCATTCTTGAATATTGTAAAAAAGACTAAACTTGCCATGTCTTATTCTGTGCTTATAACTCAGCTTCCTCCTTCCTTTTTCCAAAAGCTAAATAGACTGCAATCTTTCATAGCCGCTCAGGGAGTGAGGGGGAGATGTTTTCTATTCCATGGAAGGAAAAAAATATTTTCCCATGACAAAGCATTTCACACAGTTGGGAGAACATTCTGACTCTTATTCTACTACACAGTTTACTTTAATCAGATTTTTTTTTTTTTTTTAATTAGCTTCTGGCAGGCATGAAATAAGGAAGAAAATTATAAGGTTAATTTCCTTATTAGTCAGAAAATCTGTAGCCTGAACTGTATGCTATTCTTGAATTCTAAAGAAATAGTCATTTAGTGAATTGCTTTAAAGAAAGAGATGTATTAAAAAGAACTATACAAATATTTTCAATATTTGGCTTCTCAGTTGAAAAGACGCACATGGCAGAAGGGTGAATAGGTCATGTGTGTATGTATATGAGGGAATGGAGACAATGTGTTCATAGCACAGAGGAATGAAAAACTATGGTTTGTTGATTTTTTTTTTTTTAATCTTTAATCATCACCAGCTCTATCAGATTTCTGTCAACTACAGTATTAAAATCCTCACTTTTAAAGTCATGCTTTGTGATGTTATTGTTTTTTCAATCTACTTTCTCCTTTTTAATCTCTTCAAGTAATATAGATGTTGAAGGCCTAAAGTCCAACTTTTCATTTTAATAAGCTGTTCCTTTTAGTGTATTTGTGGTTAAAGTTTTGTCAGCTTTAGTTTATGAAAAATGAGAGAAGTGTACTCAGCTGCCACCAAAGAGTCTATAAATTAAAAGCTGGAATGTAGGGGTAAATACTCAGCAAAAAACTTCAAGGAATTAGTGTTCAGAACTCCAGCACTGCCAACATCAGCCACACTTATAAAAATAAATGTATTATGTAAAACCATGATGGCAATATTTCTATGTCATTCACAGTGTACCATAATTTGCAAAGTAATATCTGAAGTCTAATGTCTTAAAGCTTATGTTTTAGGCTTTGGTAACTTTGTCTATTTTGTTGGCATTCCCTCTCCCAATGACCCAACATTAACTCTGGGATAACTTTACTGAATTTTCACTTTCATGTTAGAGAGCAAAATTTGCCAAGCAGATCTGTGGTAAAGCTTTTATTTCTGGCATATAAATTAAGAAGACATTATATCTTATAAGACCATCAATGCTAAATTGAGTGTTACCATATGGCATAATCAGTTAGCCCTGGTTTGCTCTTATGTATATCTTCCATGTATTCAAGAGTGAGGATATCTTATTGATATCATTACATAACAGTTCCTCATCCCTGATATTGCTAAATTTGAAGTGTTCTGTGATGTCATACTGTTTTAACTCTGGTTTTTATTTCTTGTAGTCTGGTTTTCATCCTCATTACTTTTACCAGTGAACTTCCACTTGTATCCATCCAGTCTTTAGTGACTTCCTTCTCTGTAACCTGCATCATGTCTTTTCTAAATTAGTTTTCTCCCTCATTCCTGAGCTTCTTCAGTCTTCCTTGAAAAACAGGCTCTGCCATCCCACTTTCTATTATATACAATCCACAGGACCTTCTAAATATCTGTTTAATTCCTCTATCCAGGTAGTTTTGTCATTTTAATTTCTGTTCCCTTCATTTAAGTATTTTTTTCTTTTTCCTTTACAACCCTGCTGCAACCAGTGTCTCTCAATACATGTCTCTCTAAATGTCCTCGGGTTAATTCTTCCTTTCTTCAATCCCATATAATCTTTTCAAAATAGACCAGTTGAGGTTTATTTTCTTCAAGTTGCTGTTCTAGTCACATAATCTTTTAATAAGACTAAATGAGTTCTACATCCCCTCCCATGTTCCTTCCTAGCACTTAATAATGGCAGCCATTCTGTGAATTGAAAAGCCTTGCATTTAATAAAATATAGCCGATTTGTCGTCTATGTGGAAAAGGTTGAATGATAAAAAAGAGATGAAGACCTGCAGAGTGTGTACTTAACAATGAAAAATCAATAATATAATAATAAAAATTAGACGTAGCTAAAATTAGTATGCACTTGTCCTGTATATTATTTAATAGTGCTTTTGTCTACATCCCACAGAACTGTCTTATATGAGTGCTGTCCTGGCTATATGAAGATGGATGGTACGAGAGGATGTCCTGCAGGTACAAGTTTATTTTTGTGTGAATGAGTCAGTATATGAAAAATGTTACAATACAGGAGACTTTCAAAGGCAGTCATCTGGAGAAATGATTGCCTCTTTTTAAGGATTCCTGCCTGAGAATACACAGCTTCAGTTACATAGAACCAGCACAGCCAAAAATCAACCAGCTTTGAATTTGATCAAGTAGTTTGAAGTTGGATTTCCAAGCTCTTTCCAGTTACTGGATTGGAGAGTGACAGTAGTGTCTTCAGTTCTCAAAGCTGCCAAAGAAGAACTTTTGTTCCTATTCCCTTCACACACCACAATAGCCTAAATCATACCAGTAAGGTCAGAAACACCGGACATGAGCTGGGGCATATCTAAATGCTGTTTATTCCTTTTCCTGAGAAGACTTGAATGTTATTTTCTAAGAGTTTTATAGGCTTTAGATAAACTAAGGAGGAGTTAAAAATTTGTGCTGTTCTGTTTAGCATAAATAAAATTAATTGCAGCAGGGAAGAGTAATCTGAGAAGAAATATATTTCATAAATTTGGATCCCTGTCTGTGAACTAATCCTTGTACATTCAGTAATAGTTAGGCATATCTAAGGCAGAGTTCAGTTTGTTTAGATGAATTAATCTCATGTTAGATGTTTACATTAGGATGAGGTCAGTTACAGTCTAGAATTGCCTGTTCCTCTCCATGACCATAAAAAAAACCAAGAACAACGAGCTTGCGTGCAAATGCCTTAATTCTAGATGCCTAGAATTAGGAGAGCTGAATTCTGTTCTGTAGCACTGATGTAACTGTGAGACTATGTCTATTCTTACTCTCTGGATGAATCAATATATGCACAAACAACACATTGGAAGAAGAGCAAGAGGCCTTGCAAGAATAAATCTGGTCCACCAGGACCAAATGAGACCAAATACATTGAAAGCTTCATGTATATAGATGGAAATTACTCCTGGACTCAGTGGATAGCCTCTCATTTCAGGTTGGGTTGGCACAAAAAAAGACAACTCTTCTAAAGAAAACATTAAAGTATTTGATTTTGTTTGATCTAATTTTTGATTAAGAAAACAAAAAAAAATAACAAGAAGATGTGTTTGGATGGGTTTTGGCAATGCAATTTTAATCCAAGCACATAGTTTTAATATTGATTTATATAGATTCAGTAAGGCAATACTATTGTCCAACCAAAAGAAATGAAGATTTGATGGTGAGAAACTGCATGACTGAAGTGTTTACAGTATCCTCATCTCATATTTATTTTAGTTGCTCCTATTGATCATGTATATGGTACACTTGGAATTGTGGGAGCTACCTCCACGCAAGAGTATTCTGACATATCAAAGCTGAGAGAAGAGATTGAGGGACGAGGATCATTCACTTTCTTTGCACCAAGCAATGAAGCATGGGAGCAATTAAATTCAGTAAGTGTGTGTGTGTGTGCACGCATGCATGTGTTAAAGTGTACTTCTAATTCAGTTAATGTTCTTCTAGCTGCAAGAGACTTGAAACAATATGAAAATTTTAGATATAAAAAGACATTACACAAGTTACAATAAAATAAGTTGCATTTTTAATATGCATTGTTGAAGCTAGAGAGTCTGAATTTATTTTCAGGAGTACTAAGGAAATGTAAGGGATTTTTTATTTAAGCATTTGCATGACAAATATTAATACTGTTAGTGCTGTTAGCATAATTTTGGGGAAACTGACAGGAATTCCAGCAATTCCATGATGCAGAGTATAATTGTACCTTGTCAGTGATTCAAGTGTCCTTTTAGTAATGGTTTTAGTTAAATAAATATTGAATCAAAGCTTATTCAATGACTTGTCTATAATGAGACCTTGTTTTCCATTTGTGAACAAATCAGACTATAATATCATTTAAATAGACCCAGATTGACAGGTATCAGTCATGTCTCCTAACAGGAAATATCCATAATAGAATATATGGAAAGCACATGTTAAGGTAAAACAATTGGTACGTCTTTCTGACTGGAGGAATGTTTTGAATCTTCTAATTAAAAAAATACTTTTCTTCTGCAGGAAATTCACAAGAATTTGGTTGACAATGTAAATATTGAACTGTATAATGCTCTCCGCCACCACATGGTAAACAAGCGCATGCTGACAAAAGATCTTAAGCATGGCATGACTCTGGTGTCTATGTATAATGACCAGAAATTGTTTATTAACCATTATCCTAATGGGGTACGTATATTATCTTTTTTTTCTCCCTCTTATAATTCTTCAGTTATAGCCATTCTTCTTTATTTTATTTCCTTCTATAGTTAAGAAAATAAGTTATAGAAAAGTTAATATCTAGCAAGTCGGTTGCCACTGACAAAAATAAATACTTTTTTCTCTTCAAGATGTTTTTTCTGCTGCATAGGTTAATTACTAAGAAAGAATTAACGAACATGTGTGTTTGCTGTTTAGAAATCAAAGTTTAACTGAGAATGAACTTTCTTCCTAAAAGACAAAGCCTTTTGTCACCAAAATATATGATCATAATAAGTCTGAGAGCAAAATATACTATTCATATGCTTACAAAAAAATATTAAATCAGATCTTTTTTTTTTTTTTGGAGTGCACAGTAGAAATATTTAAGATTGTAGGGGACACACATCCATTATTTGGCTGGAAAAAAAAAATTATAAATGCTACAAATCTCCCAGTCAAGTCACTCATCTTCGTTGCTTTAAATACATCAAAATATGTATGTTGGACTACACTCTACATCAGTAAAAACAATAAAATCACCATATTAACCAGATATGGAAAACAAACATGAATTTGCAAGAAGAAATAAAACATTATTTTGAAATCAATGTAGCCTGAATAAATCAGCTGCTAGCTTTCCAGAAACTTAGTCAACCTTTCAAATCTTAAAAGGTTTTACTTAAAATTTAAAATAGAAAGTGAAAGAACAACAATGAATATTTAATGTACAGTACATACATTGCCAGTCTGTAAGAATTAGATTCCAAGTATAAGATCAAATTGATGTTTAATCTTCTACTGCTTGATTCTTCAAATATAGGTTGTTACTGTAAACTGTGCCAGGGTCATCCATGGCAACCAGATTGCTACCAATGGTGTTGTTCATGTCATCGATCGTGTCCTGACTGCTGTCGGAAATACCATTCAAGATTTTATTGAGGTTGAGGATGATCTTTCATCACTTAGAGTAAGTGCACAGAAATAAAACTGTTTCTCTTAATTTTTTCTTCTTTCTTTTCTATTTGTGTATGATACCTGGAAGTAAGAAGGGTTAGTTCAGTAAGAAACCAATAAATTAAATTAAGAACTTCAGCTAGTCTTGCAAATCTAGCTGTGTAAAGAGGTAAAGTATCTTTTTCTGCATTTGTGGATCAAATAAGACCACATGAGTAGGAAAAAATGTGTCCCTGTCTGTAAAAAATTGTGTCTTCTCTTCATATACTGAGGTAATGAAATGTGTGAAGATAACTTACAGTGTCTGGTGCTAGATAAATAAGGATATTTTCAAAATGAACAATAAGAAATGGTAAAAAAAGGCCAAATAGATTCCAGAACCTGACTCACAGCAAGTCTCAGAACACCACTAGATACATATAGGAAGGGTTTTTCTTGCAGAGAGAAAGCAGGGTTTTTTCGGTCCAAGTTTCTAATTTCTCCTTCTTCTAGAGGTGTCTGCTTATGGAACTTTCTAATGGGATATGGGACTGAAAATGAGGTTTCATGCTGCACATGTTTAAAAATATACATTCCATAATGGTTATAGATGACAGTGGTTAATCAGGCCTGACCAAAAGTTAACACATATTGTTAAGGGCATTGTCAAATGTCTCTTAAGCACTGACAGGCTTGGGGCATTGACCAGTTTTCCAGGAAGCCTGTTCCAGTGTTTGACCACCCTCTTAGTAAATAAATGCTTCCCAATGTCTGGTCTAAAACTCCCCTGGAGTAGCTCTGAACTGTTCCCCATACCTGTATATCTGGGAGAAGAGGTCATCATCTCCCTCTCCACTTCCCCTCCTCTGGAACCTGTAGAGGGCAATAAGGTCAACCATCAGCCTCCTGTTGTGATCCAAAACTTCCTCCTTGTATTTAATCAAATTATTCATATCCCTATAATACATTTTTTTATTATTTCAGGGAAAAATTATTGGCTTTGATAGGCTACTGCTTTAATCTAATTAGTCAAAACCTATAAGCTCACATTTTTCATTTAAAAATTCAGGTCATAATAAAATTTCTGCTCTGTTTTCACCTTTGTCAGAATTTACTGATTAATTAAAGAGATAACTCAGTATATCAAAAAACATTTTTCCCCACAAAATTAATTTTCTATTCCTTTTTGTCAATTAATTTTATCGTATTTCTGTAACACTGAACTCAGCCTACTATTAAAGTGTCAGTGGGCACTAAGTGAAACTAGGCAGATAATGGATTTTTGTAATATTTTAAATAGCACACACTGAAAACCAGATTTATTTTCTAGGCTGCTGCCATCACATCAGATGTCTTGGATATTCTAGGAAGGCCAGGTCATTACACACTTTTTGCTCCTACTAATGAAGCTTTTGAGAGACTTCCAAGAGGAATCCTAGAAAGGATCATGGGTGACAAAGTGGCGTCTGAAGGTAAGTAGCCTTAATTTGCAAATGAGAAATACAGGTGAGTGGATCAGAAGTTAGAAACTACATTATCCTGATAACTCTGAAATGTAGCATTTGTACTTTCATACACATAGGAGGAGTTATTTCTTCCATCTCTCGTTTTTCCAGTTACCTAAGGATTCAAATTCACTGAAAACTTAGTTTCCAAAACAATTTGACGGAAAATGAAAATATAGGCACATTGATGTTGACAATAGTTCAGCTGCACAGTTCCAATAGTTTTCTGACTCTTGAAATGCTGGGCTATCTGAATATGGGATTCTCTCATAGCTTTCTCATTAACAGCATTTTTATACAAAAAGGACATGTTCTTGTAAAAGACATGCTGACCCCTGCAAGCTGAACTGAATTTACACATATATTCTGACAAACTATAACAGTCAGCACACTTACTCTTTTGGGAGCTACAATAAAACTGCATAATAATTGAATCAAGTCTGTTATGTGACCAGTGATGTAATGAACCACTAAGAAATGGAAGGCTACATTCCTATTCTCATTTATGAGCTCCACTGCACTAAAAATGTTCTCCATCATTTCATTATAATTAAGTCAGTGTGCAGTATCTCAATGTCGAATGGTGAAAAGAGTGATCTGGGCTAGTTTTAATGTGAGACAATGATTAAAAATGGAATCTTGAAATAATACAGAATTTTTGGTTTGGCTTTTTCAGTATTTTTTTCAGTTTACTTTCAGGAATTATTGGCTGATTCTTTTGGTATACTGATAGGATAGTACATTGAATCTCATATATAACAAAATATAAATCTGGGGCTGACTTTGTATAGCCTATAAACTTTTATACTCAGGTCCATTTGGAACATATCTGCAGTCATCGGGTTATGTTACATGCAGACTGCAGTACAAACAATATAGTTTTCATAATGTAAGGGATGCCAAAGATTTCTGGCCACAGATGTTGTTTAGAGGCCTCTAGTATTGATTCTCATATAAATATCTTTCAATAAAGAATGTGTGAATGACAATGAACAAATATTCTGGTAAACAAAGATAGCGTAGATGTAATAATTTATCCCACACCTATGTGTGAAGTATATATATTTATATATGAGTCCAAATACCTACATATGAACTTTTTGTTTTTTTCTCTGCAGCCCTTGTGAAGTTCCATATTTTAAATACTCTACAGTGCTCTGAAGCTATCACAGGTGGAGCTGTCTATGAAACCTTGGAAGGAAACACAGTTGAAGTTGGTTGTGATGGTGAAAGTCTGACTGTGAATGGAGTGAAGATGGTGAAACGCAAAGATATTGTGACAAGCAATGGCGTTATCCACCTCATTGATGAAGTGCTAATTCCTGATTCTGGTCAGTGATGTGTATGAAAAACTTTTTATACTGAAGATGTTTTCTACAGTCTTACCTCAGATATATTGTTATAGATAAGCATGGAGAATCCAAATCATGAAAAGTAATAAATTGTGTGTTAAAATGCCTTATCTTATTTCTTTATTTCCAGCCAAGCAAGTCACTGAGCTTGGGGGTGCCCAGCAAACTACTTTTACAGACCTGGTTGCACAGCTAGGACTGGCATCTTCTCTAAGACCAGAAGGACAATACACTCTCCTGGCACCTCTGAATGGTGCTTTCTCAGGTTAGTGGCTTTCAAAGATTATGCTCTGAATGTCAAAATAAGCAAGAATATATACTGTCTTGACATTTTTCCAAATAAGCCCAGTACTTAGTTCTAAGTCCCAAGGAAAAAGAGCCGTAGACAAATAGAGATAATTCATCCTTTCAAAGTACATACCATGCAGAAAGACAAAACAAGCCTAACCACCAGCCTGCACAACCGGTTTTTAGTAGTATCATTTGTTCATGGAAATCATATAACTAAAATAATATACAAACTATGCACAGACAGATTGTGGGAAAAGAAATATTTTAATGGACTGCCAGTTCCCTTAAGCTTTGCATTATTTGCATTACATTCCCAATTTATTCTCAAAAGGAGAAAGTGGCTGGTATATTCCAGTACATTAAAGCAGAGAGAAACTGATAAAAATATACTATAAAACAGCTACTTGCATATTTGCAGAAGAGACCACATGGACATCCTACCCCTTCCCCCAAGAATCTGAGAGTTAACTCACCACCACAGAAGCCAATTTGGAAAGTTTTTAAGGCTCAGAGGCAGAAAGGAAAAATTTGTAACAAGAATTTCAGCAGTGATTCAGAAGATGGACCAGGACCACATATAAATCATCTGGCATATTATTTACAGTAATTAGTCAAGGCCATGTCAAAAGTTCATGTCTGAATTTAAGGAATGATGATCTGCAGAAACTGCTTAACAATTCATTTTCTGTATACACAGATATGTCCAAGCCTTAACTCAAGAATTTCCTAGAAAGATTACGTATTTCGGTGGTCTTTTAATATATTGTCCACAGTTAACCTTATTTGAATGAAAATTCACTATATAAGTCACTATATATTAATATTTAAATGGATTTGTAGATGACACCTTAAGGATGGATCAACGTCTTCTTAGAACAATCCTGCAGAATCACATTATAAAAGTGAAAGTTGGACTCAATGAACTGTACAATGGACAAGAACTGGAGACAATTGGAGGAAAACTACTTAGAGTCTTTGTGTATCGCACAGTAAGTGAATGGGCCTCCCTGACAATATGTATTCCAACGATGAAAATGAAGTGTCATGAAAAAATAAAAGACAAATCTGAACAAAACCTCCAACATTTACTATTATGATGATCTAAGAAAGATCTTGATGTTTCTAAGCTAAGAAAAAATTAAAATCTGATCTTTATTGAAGGAAACTTTGTTTGCATGGAATACTCTCTGGGAAAACAAAACAGGATTCTAGATTTGGCACTCCATTAGTAACAATTTTTTTAAAGCTAGTTTTCAGAACTAATTTATAACATTCTTGAAGGAATAAAAAAAAAAAAAGTTTGGAAATATTTATACCATATTAACTTGCTCCAGATTTTGCTACTTTTGCTTTCTCAAGCAGCACCACATTTCCTGGTAAGAACACACAATTCAAATGTAGGAAATCAATATGAAGATTATTTTTAAATTTAGGAGTCTACTGGGAAGTATGCATCCATCTCATTTTACAAATATGTTTAAATGTGTATCATTGTGTGAATAGCTACACTTGTCTCTCTTTCAATCAGGCTGTATGTATTGAAAATTCATGCATGGTCAGAGGAAGCAAAGAAGGAAGAAATGGTTTTATTCACATCTTCAGACAGATCATCAATCCAGCAGAAAAGACATTGCATGAAATGCTGAGAAGTGATAAGCGTTTTAGGTGAGTAACAATTTTTATAGCACTGAGATTTTCCTACAGTGTGTAACCATCTATACAGGATAGCTGGTCAGAGAAATAGTTGTGAACTGTGGGTTGTTGGATTCTGTGGGATAGAGAGGGCAGGGAAGGGGTTATTTCCTCCTTGGAAAAAAAAAAAAAAGTGGGGTGGCAGTGGGGTTGGGCATGACAGGAAAAAAAAAATGTTCTCCTCCAGCTGTATGCAGAAAGGGCTCCTAGACTTTAAGCTTGAATGTTTGCTTACAGCACACAGGAGTCATTAAGACACCAGAATGAGAGGAATAAGAGGATAAAAGGGGTTGGATGATACATCCAGAGGTATGAATGCAACAGAGCCTGGAGGTTTAATTAATGAGTACAACTCCACATGGGTGCAGCTTGATTGCATACTCTTCCAGTATGTACTTCTGTCTCCTTCCTGCAAGTATCTCAATACTCCCAGAGAAAGCAACTACCCTTGCTATTCTCCCTTCATCAATTTGATCTGTGGGCTTTTTATTCAGTTAATTCTGATCTGAGTTAAACCACGGCATCCAGGTTGCCAATATATATAAATATATCTATATATCCCCTCAAATCCTTTTTGTTCAGTCTGCTATGCTTAAATATTTCCTCATTTTCCTCCTCCACTCTCTATTTCTGGGCAATTGCAAGTGTGTTTGAAGATTGATGCACTATCAGAGAAAATGAAGGTACCAAGTGCCTGAACTCCAGTATAATTATTATGTTTAAACAGAACGTATCTCTGTTTTGTCTGTTGTAAACAGCGTTTTCCTCAGTCTGGTGAAAGCTGCGGATTTAGATGATGTTCTGTCACGGCCTGGGGAATGGACTCTGTTTGTTCCAACTAATGATGCCTTTAAAGGTTTGACCGATGATGATAAGGACATATTGATAAGTAAGTAACATAAGAAAACTAGAACTATAAGCAAAGGTAAAGTTGATGGGAAAGGTAGCTAGTGCATTTCTTACAGAAAAGATCTCTGATAAAACAGCTGACTTTTTGCATAGAGCAGGTCATAAGACTTTCTTAAATTACTTCCTTCTTGAGGCCTAGAGAAAATACCTTTTTGGAAGAAAGCATCCAACATGAATTTAAATTTAAATTTTAATCTTTGATATATTATTCTGAGATATGATTAGCTTCCAAGTTAAAATCTGCATTCATTTAATTAGCTTCAACTTTTCATCATTCAAAATAGCTATAGATTTTTTTAAACTGAATAGTCTCTTCTATCACGTTTATTTTCTAGCTGTGATCATTACACTGAATGATATGTAGTATTGACTTTCCTACCTCTTCTCTTCTCTTCTCTTCTCTTCTCTTCTCTTCTCTTCTCTTCTCTTCTCTTCTCTCTTCTCTTCTCTTCTCTTCTCTTCTCTTCTCTTCTCTTCTCTTCTCTTCTCTCTTCTATTTCTGGTATCACCTATGCTTTATAGGTTAAAAATTGATATATATTAATAAATGACACTGTATTTAATTTCTTCTGAATTTACACTTTTAAACTCTGGAATTATATAGATTTTTCACAAGATTTAAAAGTAATTTATTGAATGTCATGCAGATTTTCCCACTATAGGGGTAGACTGTAGCTACAGCACTATAAATAGTTTTAGTTTATTCAAGAGTAATGTGAATCTGGCCTGTGCACAAGTGTGGGAGGAGTGTTTGTCTTGAATCCCACATCCATAAGGTCTGTCACATTTTCCATTCCTGCACTTTTCAGATCAAAGTTCGGAGGCGTTAAGCCAAATCCCAGGAATCCGTAATGACTTCAAAGAGTCCAGCTCCGAGCATTGATAAGCAGCAATCCCAGTTCTATGAAGCCCTTAGCTTACTAATGAGGCACCGTGAATTTGAATTATTTCTTCACCATTTTAAAGTTATGATAATGGTCTAAATTACCTCCTAGTGTGGTGTGTCCCTGGTGACTAACAGTAAATTATCAGATAGCCTAAATGCCTAACATTAGACAGCTATAAAATGAAATGAAGCTTGTCTCAATCTGTGAACTGAAGTAACTGAATAATTGCCATTGTTCTCTTTTTTTGGACTATACAGTTATTTTATAAAATAAGATTGAGCTTATCAGGCCCATTATTTTTTACTTCAATACACAGATTGATATTGTACCTAAGGCCCATGACATTTTGGATATTTTCTATAAGAATACAACTATATTTGCCATTCTGCTTTTCTAGGTGTTTTGTGTACTATCTTCTCCCATCATTGTAGTCAGTTTCTACTTATTTACCTTGGCAGATGAGATTTTAATTTATCCTTATTACTTTTTTTTCAGCAGAATATCCATTTTTTTTGTGAGAGATTACTTTCTGGAATTCTGCCTTGGCTTTCTTTAAAGATAATATATTGATTTCTCCATAAAAAAATAAAACAAATATTTATTTTTTTTAAGGAATATAAAGAAATGCTTTATTTATCTGTAAGAAAGACACAAACCAAAGATTATTTTAAGCATTAACCAATAGAATAGGAGTTAAGTTATTTTAAGCATTGACCTAGAATAGGAGTTCTTTTTCCTCTTTCCCAACTTCTCCAATCTGTATCTGTTCTCTGTAAGAACAGAGAAAAAAAGCACTCCAAATGACTCCTTCTTTTCTGCCTGAAGTAAACAGAAACGTTCTCCTGCTCCAGATGGGAAAAGATGTGTGCATATGGAGTTGTGACCTGTCCCCAGTCATCTGAGAAGGATGTTGCAACAAGAGAATAATTACATTCATTGTTAGCTATGGTTCACTTTAATTTCAGCAGTATTAAGGATAGAGTTTAACTAGCAGCTTGGTGAAATTTGGTGATGCTAACTGCTTAGTGGTCCTGAAATTATTTTGTTTGCAAATGATTTGTGGAATAGATTTAAGAAAAAGGAAAAAAAAAAAATCTGTTTAGAGGTGCAAGCAAATAAAAGAAAATAATACAGAAAAGTAAGAAAATGCTTGCTGCTTTTATGTTCTTTTTTTCTAGGAATTCTCATAGCATCTTTATGGTTATCTTCTGAGTGCCTTTTTGTCATATGATTGGGTTTTTTCAATTTATCATAATTTTGACAGAGTCAAATTGCATGTGTTCATGGTAGCTTCATTGAAACTGCTTGATTCTGGATCAAGCCTGTGTTAATCCTTATAATTTCCAGAAAGAACTATCCTTTGCCAATTAATTTTTACTCCTACTTTTATTTTCTTTTTAAATAGGAGACAAAAATGCTCTCAGGAATATTATTCTTTATCACTTGACACAAGGAGTTTTCATTGGAAGTGGCTTTGAGCCTGGTGTGACAAACATTCTTAAAACCATCCAAGGAGGGAAACTCTACTTGAAAACAGTTAAGTGTCGAAAGAGAAGTCTCCCTGGTACAGCCTTGTAACAGGGATTTGACGTTCCATGTCTATCCATATTACAGAAGAGGATACATTTCTCTGAACATTATATTAGGGCTTGGGGTTGTTTCTAATGTCCCTGAAACCTGTGTTCTTTTCATCCTTTTCCAGGTGAATGATACTCTTCTGGTTAATGAACTGAAATCAAGAGAACCTGATCTCATGGCAACCAATGGTGTCATTCATGTCATTGATAAACTCCTATATCCAGCAGGTGAGTATTAGTTTGTGGAATTTATACAAACTCTTCTGAATCTGTTTACATGTTATGTAGGTGCAGTAATATTTAAAAGTTACTTTAAAGACACAATTCCTATGTGACATTAGAAGCAGAAAAGTTACCTCGTTACTCTTTTTGTGCAAGAACCTTGCTTGAAACCATGACAACCATTTGAAATTCTGGGCATGTCCAGTAGACTGAAGACAAGAGTCCATATGCTATATTTTCCACAAATATAGAAGAAAAAATGTATATGTACAAGTACATGCTTGTGTGTTTAAGAGTGATTGATCACTGTTAATGAAAGTAAAATGAACAAAAACGTGTGTTTCCTCTTACATGCCTATTTCTTTTTTCAGATCTGCCTGTTGGAAATGATCAGTTGCTCACAATCCTGAAGAAGTTGATTAAATACATTCAAATTAAGGTACTCTTTAAATAATAATCCCTCTGCCTTTTTGGCAGGTTCTGTGAAACTGAGTATAATTCATAATTGATTATCTGATAAGGATCCCTCTGTTTCTTCAGCAGACAACACATTAAATAGCTCCCAGTTACCCAAATATAATCATGAATGATGCGCTGCAATCAATAGTTAGAATTTGTTTTTCAACACCTAATAGTTGTAGAATATTTGCTTTTGGATAAATCCAATTTGAACTGTCCCAAATCTGCTGTCTGGTTTAGCTACACTTTATCACTCAAATAAAATAAATCACTTCTAAATTCTTGAGGCAATCCCTCTTTAAGAGACCTATAGAGTGGCTAAATTGCTATGTCATTAAATCCATCAGCCTCTATAGCTTGTGGAGAAAAATTGGCATCCTTATCTACCTCAGCTACCCTCTTGAGATTATTCTCCAACAACAATGAATGAGAGGACCTATCTAGGCAGATTGCATAGCTTAAATTTTAGATCAATGAAGCAGTGAATACTACCCAAAAACATTAGGAAACTAACAGGCAAGTGCTCTTTCTTTGAAATTTTAAAATTATTTTTCTATATTTATAGTTTGTTCGTGACAGTACCTTCAAAGAGATTCCGCTGACGTTTTACAGTAAGTGCATTTTAAATACTTCCAGATGGGTTTGAGATTGCTTTTTAAATGTTGCCAATTCAAATCTTGAATTGTAGAGTTTTTTTCAATCAAAAATAAAGGAATTTCTGGGAAAGTAAGATGTGCCAGTGAAGCACAGGAAGAGAAAGAATCAAAATAGAATGTTTCTGGCTGTTGTGCTACTGTATGTATTTTTTCCCCTTTCCAGATGCGTGACAGGAAAGTAACCCGGAAGTAAGCTGTTCAAACTCTTTGGGGTAGGCAAGATACATATGGAAAAGATTGCTTTTCAGATTTTAGCCAAGGTTCAGTGCTTGGTGCATAGCACAGTCGTACTGCCTCTCTTTCCAAGACATAGCATTGCTCTGTACTGACTCTCCAAGATGTAGCAGTGACCAAACTCTGCACTGAGATGCTTTCTTCTTCATAAATGCTTCCAGAGAGACAGAGTGTACTCGTTCCGCCCATTCCCCATGTGTGCAAATATGAGGCTTGTATGGGAAGCAGTTGTTCTGGCCATTTTCTTTTTAAGGAGTAAGAGTAAACAAGGAAACTTTTTTGTTGTCTTGCACTCTTTCTCAGGCTTTGCATTTATTTTCTGCATATAAAGTAGAACCTGTTGAAAGAAACTGTTAGAAGAAAAAGATCTTGCTGAAGCTTGGCTTGAGAGGGCATATGAATTTAGGCAGTTGATAAAATTTCTGTAGAATAATACCCACATTCTCAGGAGAAACAGAAACCATCAGACCTTTGAAGACCAAGAATGGACACACTGAAATTAAAAGACTTTTGGAGCAAGAAGTAAAATAATATATCTTGATGGCAAATTGAATATGGGCCAACTGTGCCCTGGGGTGCATCAATCATGGCATCATTTGCTGGCTGAGGCAGGTGATTGTCCTATTCTGCACTGCACTTGTGCAGCCCCACCTGGTGTACTGTGTGCCGGTTTGGGCACCTCAGTGTAGGAAGCACATCAAACTATTACACTGTGCCCAGAAGAGGGCAATCAAGATGGTGAGAGGTCTCAAGGACAAGACTTACAGGGAGTATCTGAGGTCACTTGATTTGTTCGGCTTGGAGAAACGAAGGCTGAGGGTAGACGTAACTGCAGTCTAAAACTTCCTCAAGTGGGACAGTGGAAGGGAAGGTGCTGATCTTCTCTCTCTGGTGACCAGTGATAAGACACAAGGAAATGGAATGAAGCTGCATTACGGGAAGTTCAGACTGGACTTTAGGAAAAGGTTCTTCACTGAGAAGGTGGTTCGTCACTGGAAGAGGCTCCCCAGGGAAGTGGTCACAGCACCAAGCCTGTCAGAGTTCAAGAAGCATCTATTCGATGCTCTTAGTCATATGGTTTAGTTTTGGGTAGTCCTGTGAGAGCAATGGAGTTGGTGATCCTTATGGGTCCCTTCCAACTCGAGATATTCTATGATTCTATCTTCCACAGCCAGTGAGAGTAGCATGAGAAGCAACGTCTGTGAAGTAAGGGAGGTCTTTCTTAAAACATGAAGAAAGTTGTAACTGTTGATTTAGTTGAAGGCAGGAACCACTGCCAGTGAAGGCTTCTCTAGCAATGAGTGGGTACAAGTCAAACAACGATCCATCATTAATTATCTGTTCAATGAATACTTGAGTCTGTCTTAGGTGTAGAGGGACAACTTGATCTCCAAATGGCACAACTTGATCTCCAAAATACCACTCTCTGATATTCCATCAAGTGTAAGAATAGTTCTGAATGTCAGATGGTTTCCTCTGTTTAAACAGATCAGCTCCCTAATGAAAAGGGCAAGGTCTGAATTTAAGATACATCAGGGAATAGTGCAAATCTTTATGTAGGGAAGTATATAAGCCATAATGTTTTTGTACCTTACATTATCATGGGTTTCATAAGGCACAAACAAAGGCAAATAATGTACCAGCAGACTCCATCTGCAGGTCACTTGTGTACACCTTTTAGTAACTCGAATCAGGATCCATACTCTAGATTAGTTTGATACACTTTGCCACCCATTAATACCTGTGATTTTGTCCACATCTTTATGACCAGACTAAACTGATTATTACCATACAGAAACTGTAAGAATGGAATGTATTTTATATTCCATTTTCTATACTTTCAGAAATTAACATAATTGAAAGCAACGTCCAGCCCATCATCAGAAAGGAAGGTAAATGAGGCCCTTAGGATATATATTTCTGTATATGTTCATATACATATGCAAAATATATATTGTATATATTTCTTTAACAGGATGCATTTTGAACATAACAACTCCAGGACATTCAGCACTTTGCTGGAAAAGCAAAGATACAAATATTGCAATTAGAACTGGCTGAAATATTTTGTATAAAAATATTTCATACTGTTGTTTTCCCCAAATGCATTTTCTCCTTTTCCTATGGGCATTTTAAAAATCTTTTAAAAATAATCTTGTTTCAAAACTTTTATGTTATGTACCCCAGATATTACTATACTTTCAATGAAAACATTTCTTTTTCTTTTAATTAAAATGGTTATTTGAAACTAATTAAGTAAATTGGCTTTTAAAGTTTGAAGAAAAAAAAAATCTGTTCATTTTTCTAGAATTTTCAATCAGTTCTAAATACCAATATCTGTCAGATGCCTGGAACAAATGGTTAGCCAAACTTTACTTTTACATTTCTTGAGGAAAATGCATGACATAGGTGGGTGGTGTGACTGAAGAGAACAAAAAGCGAGGCTGGAACTGTCAAAATCACATTAGATTCATAACTTAACTAAAATACCCATGGGTTTCACCAGACCAGGTACACTGCTAATGGGATCTAGTTTCCCACTGAAATATAAATGCTCAGAGGGAATCTGGTTGATCTCAACTGATGATAACAGCAGTTAAAATGTTGTGCAATAATGTTATCGAGACTGTTCATTGTTTCTGGGATGACTTCCTCCCAGCAGAAGTGACATGAGCTTGCTTTTACAGTAGCTTGTCTGTGCTTCATCTCAGTGAGGATTAGACACTATCCAGCATATATGCTGATCTCTGTTGCCTAGTGTCCATCATTAAATCAGATCCACAGAGAAATATAAAGGGATAGATGATTAAGTAAGATAATTCATCTAAAATATTTTAGAAATCTTCCTATGACGAAGATAAATCACTCTCTGAAAGTACCTGTTCTTCTATGTTAAATCCAGAGACAGGGCATATAGTTTAGGTGATTTACATGGTGTTTAGAAGTTGAAAGTTAACTGAAAGAAACCCCTGTTTTAAAGAAAAAAAAAATCTGAGCACTTCTATAGTCAAATGTACAGCTAAGTGTTATTCATCACAGAGAGAAAAAATATGTTACTGGGTATGGAAGAGTTACTCCTTTCCATTGCCAGTACAGTGCTTCTGCTTCAGGACACACTCCAGGGAATGATCTCTGGCCAATACAGCCTTTCTGCTGATGATTCAGAAATAGACCAAATAAAGGCAATTCTGGCTCTTCTGAGCTTCCCAGTAGTAAGCTAGTAGTAAGCTAGTAGCGAGTAGCAGCTCCCATAGAAACCACATAAGCCCACAGCTGTCTGTAGAAAAATGCTGGCCAAGTTGCATGTTAATTTTTACAGCATATATCAGTAAGGTCTAGCACATTGTGATGGAAAGGAAATTTCATCAAAAAAGAAAAAACACACCTACCCTACCTATCTGCCTTTTCCTGTGTCAGTATATTCTACTTAAGTTTCCATTGTCCTTGGGCAATTTGGAGGGAACTAAAGAGTTAAATCTGATTGAAACCCAAATCTTAATGGTTTAGATGTTCAAAGGATTGATCCTAGATTAGGCAGTATAGTAAACTATGGCTTTACCTTTTATTTTGGGTATATCTGTTGTATCAATCACATAGGAAAGTACAGTAATTTATAAATCTAAAAGAAAAATTGAAATATTTATAAACATTCATAAATATACCTCTGACATGTTTTCATTAATATTGACTACCTGTATCAATGTATATAGGTATTTAATGCATTCTCATAATGCAAAAATGCCTCTAAATTTAAAACAGAAGCAAGTGAATGGACCTTGTAAGACTGCTGCTTTAAAATATTTATGAATGTGTGTTGGCCAGGCTCATTAGAAAATAAAAGAAAAAGCAATGGATTGTTCAGATGTTTAAAACAGAATAAATTAGTAGAGCTCTATAATAACTGAGCATCATTATGATCTTATCATATCAACTCATATGCACCCAATAAATTAATTATTCAGCTCTAAAGTCTAACTTACACAATCATCTTCTGTTGCAAAAACAAATGAAAATGTGTGCTTGGATATGTTACTATTGAAGGAGAATAATTAGCCTGAATTGTACTGTTATCAGCAATTAACACCAGGCACACATATTAAAAAGCTATAGTTAAATCCAGACCAGTAATTAAAAAAAAACCTAGGCAGTTTCAACTTCTACATAAATTCATATAAAGAAAATTTTTAAAGGATTTATATGGAAAATGAGATCGATGAACCATGTTAAGCTTCTAATTCTGAACAGGGAATGAGAGAAGTGTGTGTTACACAGCATTTTAAGTAGAGGATGTTGCTGTAACACTTATTACAGAAGAACCATGTTAGTCCTATTAATTGATTGCATCAATGATATGTTCCTAATTTATTAAGTATCTGCTGCTCCAGCATGTCTGACAGAAATACATTTGGATCAGTGTTGTCTGTAGTGATCGCACAAGATTAAGAGATTTTTTTTGGCCATTGAAATCCAGATAACCTCTCCCATCCAATTCAAAGAATGATAGCCATTAATGCTAATACCTTACAGTGTTCCAGTTGATCTCTGAGGTGTTTGGTTGGGGTTTTTTCTTTAAGCTGGGCGACCACTGGCAACATCTTGATAGCTTAAAAAATGAAAAAGCCAAATAAAAAGAATAAAAATAATTTTAAAAAAACCCCACAGAACAAAAACAAGACAACAAATAACCTCCAATGCAACATAAACAAATTCTGATTAAAAGACCTAGTGTAGATTAAAAGATGTCTTGGATATCTTTACACTTAGTGGGAAATAACAGGAACAACATTTCTGTCTCTAGTTATTTTCTAAGCTTTCACACAATAGTGTGCATGCTGATCACTAGCAGAGCAATAGCTGTAAGATTCCAGCAATGCCACAGGCTAGGATTCTTACAAATACATACAGTGAAAGACTTCCTTTCAGCTGCTGTGGATCTGTTTTTTTGCCTGAGACTTGTCAACAGATGTTAAAAATATCAGAAACACGGAAGCTAAGAAAAAAATATATATTTATAAATAATAAGAGTGCAATGGGATCTAAATTTAAGATTGTACAGCATTGCTGCAAACGTCTTCTTGGATTTAAAAAATCATCCTTTACAGTCATGCGCTTTAATTAGGGTAAAGGGGATAATGCTATCTTCACCTCAGCCCCATGGAATACCCTAAGTATTTTTATGACTATTTGTAACCTGTTGTTTTTTTCCTATGTCACAGACCCATCTATCACACAGCTCACTAAATTAATTGAAGGGGAACCTGAGTTCAAAATAGTCAGGGAAGGGGAGACAATAACTAAAGTGATTCATGGAGGTTGGTATGCTTTCAGCAACTCAACTTGTTTCAGTTAAAATTTTAGGCATTCACTGTTCACAGATATTTTCTACTTTATGTAGGTGATTCTTGTGATATGTTAGACAACTGTTTTGTTTTTAACAAGACCTTCTGGAAGTGTTGTAATTTTATTGCATCATTTCATTCTTACTTCTCATACACTCCAAAAAATTGGGGTTTTTTTCTTAGCTGTGTCCCATAGCTACAATCAAGACAGTGTTAGAAATACTCTGCATGCTGACATAAATTCTCTCTCAGTTAGGGATTATTTGCTGCTTCTTGTCCTGCAATCAAAAATGCAGTACATGATTCAGTGACAGAAAGACAGTTTTATCAGACAGAGAGGTAAACTTTACTTTCTGTTTTGCTAGGAGCATTGAGAAGCTGACATATAGGGTGCTTTCAAAGGAAAAACAGCATGTGGCCATTCTAAATTTGGAGGAAACCTAGTTCCTGTTCTCCTCTGAACATCTTTATTTTTCATAAAATATGCTGCGGTGTTTCTTTGCGTGTTTCAGTAAGTTTCAGCATCTCAAAACCAGCACTTGCAACGCTGTTCATTGCTTGATTAATGTCTTCAATTTAAAAATCCTTGTAGAACCAATTATTAAAACATACACCAAAATCATTGATGGGCGACCTGTGGAAGTGACAGAGAAAAAAGTAACAGAAGAAAGAATTATTCAAGGTAAATTATGCTGAGCATACATAACATACAGAAATGGCAACAATATTTTAACAGCATGCAAAACCATGAAAACTTCTCCTTTTGTGTGTGCGTGTATTTGCAAAGTATTTGCTTTTGCAATCCTCTTGATACTATTTTGGGATGAGGCTGCCTTTATTTAATTTTTTCAGTCTGGCTTGATTTAGTAAGATGACTGGTTTTTTTAGGGTGTTTTTGTTTTGTTTTGTTTTTTGTTTTTTTTTTTTTTTTCTCTCTCTCTGTGAACTTTTGGGTTGTATATCTCCAGGTAGGTTTCATTTGACCAAAGGTAAAACTTCAGCGTGTAGATACCTACTTTTACACTTCATCCCAGGCTCCCTTGAGAAGCATTTCAGAAAAATAGAACTTCACTGTTTCTCTGTAAGGAGGGGCCTCCATCCACAAGTTAGACATTTGTATTCAGCTATTATAAGATAAAATCAATGTACTTATTTGTCCCTTGATCTTCTCCCACAGTAACTTTCAAACTCTTCAGCCAATTTCAATTATATTTGATCTACTACAGAGATATTTCTTTAAGAATCCTAGAAATTTCACAGAACTGGGAGTGAGGTGTATTTAAACAGTCACAAATTCAATGCTGCTACAATCTCCTTAGTTAGATATCAGTTTGAATGCTGCCACTAAAATTCTGGTAGCCAGAACATTATGGGAAAGCCAGTGTTATAGCAACATAATTGACTTTGCAGAAAGTCTTAATATTCATTTTATTTAGCAAATCTTAAAATTCAGTTTAAGAAGTCATTCAAGCAAGAGAGAAATAAAGAACGAGACTTAAGTTATTCTCATACAACTATCAACTACAGTGAAAATAACTGAATAAAAATACATTGAATGTTTCTCAATAAACCTGGGACTATTTTTCAACATAAAGGTTCTGAAGGCGAAAATAAAATATTATTTTCTCATTTCTCAAATTCAAGTTTCACTAATATCCCACATTAAATGGTCAATATAATGTAAAATGTCAGTGTTTCAGACCTGATATTTACTTCTCTTCCCTCTGTAGCTCAAACCCATAAGCTCAAGCTTAAAATCTCAAATGTTTCATAGCAATAATAAAAGCAACAACATCTATTTACAGCAGTGGATCCAGACTCTTTTTGCACTTAGGAAATATGTCTTCTATGACCTACTACAACAAAGTGTTTAAAGCTGTCTTGCTTTAAGAAAGTGAGCAGGTATTTACTATACATTAAATTTGTCTAAGTGTTTTCTAAATACTGTTTGTAAACCTCTTTCAATTTAATCTGAGACACAGTGAAGGATAAAATGATCAGCAGATAAAGCATGTTAACCATGGGACCATCCTAAATTAAATAGGAACATACCAACTTCAGAGACAATCCTGTTATATCTCATTAAAGTAACTGTTTTACACATCTTTTTTTTCCAGGTCCTGAAATAAAATATACCAGAATTACTGCAGGTGGTTCAGACAATGAAGAAAAGTTAAAGAAGTTGCTTGAAGAAGGTTAGTATCTTTGTTTTCTTTCCTTTAATTTTTTTAAGAAATATAATAATTATGTTACTAATTACTGAGTTATTCCATGTTTTTCAGCAAAGGTGCTCATACTTCAAAATCATACTGAGAGATAAAACCTCATAACCTGAGAAATGTCCAAATCTAATGTCCTGATTTGAGTCTCTGATCTTCATATTTCTGTCAGCACTAGAGTTGAGACTGCCTGGGTCTATTATATACTATGTTCTGTCTGTCATAAAATACAGAGTTTTCAGTGTTTACATGGATTTTAATATCATAACAGATGTATTTTGTAAGTCAGCAAAGTGCTATGATGGATTAATTCAGTAATATGCTGTTATAGGCTTACCAAATGTTTTCTGTGAATCAATTTTTTTTTTGCCATAACCTGTATCCTATCAGAGGTTACCAAGGTGACCAAATTTATTGAAGGTGATGGTCATTTACTTGAAGATGAAGAAATCAAAAGACTTCTGCAGGGAGGTAATTCAGTGTATTATAACTAACCTTTTTGCAACAGGTTATGATAACTGAAACCCCTCTCAGATATGCTGATCCCAACATTTTAAAGACTGACATAGCAGAATTGTAATTTCAATGAGAGAAAAAATGCAGTGAAGTGCCTGGAAATGGAAATAAATATCAAAGTTTGATTAATCAAATTTTTTTTTTGCAATCTTGCTCATGAGAAAGAAAAAAAAAAGCTTTTTTTCAGTCTTTAAAAAGTTATCTAATTAAAACTCAGGGGAGCAATGAAGATTTATTCCTCTAGCTGTGAACTCTCTTTTTCAGCAAACTGAAATCTGTGTAAAACACTTAAAAAGTGGAAAGTATTGTAATAGGTCAAATTTATCTTACTTATCAGTTCTTCAGAAATGAATATTCATTGCCCTCAATTTAATAATTAAAGGCATGTTTAGCATCCTTCTTTCAATGCTTACAGGTGATGGATATCAAGGCATTAACTTTAATTCTCTTCAAATATAGCATCCCAAGGAATGGTTTTCTTTCCTTCTTGCTCTCTTAATTCTAACAGTTTTGGCAATGTATAACCAGTAGCTGTAGAAAAATGGTAAAAGAACTTGTGCTTATGAAATTAATCTTTATCTATGAATTCGGAATGTTCTCTGCTTAATGTAGATTAGAAAACTATCTATAATAGCAATGGAGAATTTAAAAAAAAAAAAAAAGATAATTCAAGTGTTGTGGTTTTAGTAATGTTAGTATAAACCCGAGTCGGAAGCAAAAAAATATGTATGGATGTTTCTCTTGGTATAAATTAGCTGAACCCACTTCATTTTATGTTTACCTGTTAGTAAGTTACAAACCTGAATACTAGTGAAGTAGCTCACTGTCAGCTCTGTGTTCTCTGAACTAAATCTTGTAGTCCTTCAAAAGCACTATTCTGTGGCTTTGAGTTAAACTTCACTTAAATAAAAATTTAGTCATGGCGGAATGGCTGCACAGCTTTCTGCCAGAAGAAACCATTCTAGTTGATAGTACAGCTAGTCTTGGAGAAAGGCCAAGATATGGCTATGAATACTGTTGACTATATTTCTTTCTTCTGTTTTAAACATCTAAATATTAGTATTACAGATCCAAGCCAGGATTTGGCTATAATCATTGGAGAGAAATAGGAACTTGCAGAGGGGTATTCATAGAATCATAGAACCATAGAATGGGTTGGGTTGGAAGGGACCTTAAAGACCATCTAGTGCCAACTCCCCTGCCATGGGCAGGGACCCCTTCCACTAGACCAGGTTGCTCCAAGCCTCATCCAGCCTGGCCTTGAACATTTCCAGGGATGGGCCATCCACAACATCTCTGGGCAACCTGTTCCAGTGCCTCACCACCCTCTCTGTGAAGAACTTCTTCCTGACATCTAATCTAAACCTCCCCACTTTCAATTTAAACCCATTACCCCTTGTCCTGTCACTACAGGCGCTTGTAAAAAGTCCTCTCCCAAAGACTTTTTACTATTCATCTTATCTTTTTATTCTATTCATCTTATCCTATCTAAGTGTCCCAGCTGTGTGAAGAGTTTCTCCCTGGAGATGACTATTTCAGTGTGGAACACTTAAAAGAAAACCTGAAAATAAAAAAAGTATGTCAAGAAGATCCCTTCATATACTGGACTATGTTCTGTTGGTGTCAACCAGGCAATAGAGAGCAGGATCAAACTTTATCTGTTCAAAATACTGGTGACAGGTCTGATGCCAGAATCTAACAATTACTATTGTAATTGTAATCATCTCCAATTTCAGAGGTGTGCAATTGAATAGATGTAATCTGTAGAGATACATCTTACAGGGATCCTATCAGTGTATGGAAAAGAGATACCTAGTTACTCTGTAGTAAATTTGGAAAAGAAAATATTGTCTCTTGAATTCTTCATATTTTTCCTTGCTATTATATGTTAGTTTGCATAAACATCCTGCTTTACAGAATGGACCAAATGGGCAGTTTTTTCTCTTGTTTCGATTTGACTTTTCTCTATTTTTCCCATGATTTATCCAGTCAGCTACACCTGGCTGCCATGATAATACGTTACCATATGTTTAGCCAATAAAAGCAGATACACATGATGCTTTATGGTTGTTGGTGATAATGATGATAATTCTCTATGGCCCTCTTGTCTACATCAAATCATTCTGTTTTACTGAAAATTTCCTAAACCTTATAATCTGAGTCCAGTCACAAATAAATACACTGCCACTATCTAAAGTAAAAGAATGATTTCATATAGTCTCTAATTCTACTCATGAAATATCCAGCATTGCTTATCACAACTGGCAGTCTTTGCTGAAACAAAACTTCAAGCCAAGATTGTAATGAATGACTCAGCCCTAGAGAAGGAATCACCTGTGGCAGGGCCAAGGAAATCAGCAGGACCTTATGGCATGTATAACATGGTGGCCTGTATACACCTACATTCTCAAAATGACGTTGTTTCCACTGAAGGCTCCTTGCATATGGAAAAATGCTATGCCAGATTTAACTCATTTGTTTTTGATGCTTACCATAGCTGGAACTGAATACACCAAGGTTACTAAAGTTATTGAGGGAGAGCCACAGATTATCGAGAGAGAAATCAAGAAAGTCCATCTGGAAGGTTAGTTTGTCTAAAAAGTCCAGTATCACTAAGACCTGCTTTGTCTGAAGTGATCATTCCAGGTGGGGTTTTATACTATCTATTCATAAAAATTACTTAGGTCTGAAGCTAGTATTTAACAAGAACAGTTTTATAATTGTTTTGGAAAAGAATTCTTTCACTGACATTGCAGAGGAAATTGTTGAGGCTTATCTTGTGACTAAAAGAACTAAAAGATTTGGCAAGCACTGTAGACAAGAGGAAATGTCTAACCATGAAGCTTAGGTAAAACATTTGAAGGAACATGCACCATAAGAATTGACTTTTCTCTAAGCAGCTCAACCAGAAGAAGACCACGTGAGTTGTTTTTAACTTGAGTTCTTTATTATTGGTGTTAATGCCATTTGTTGATGTGAGGGGTTCTCAGCTTGGTTAACGGCAGGTAAGGTGGAGGGAATATAACCTCCGGGGTTGAGTAAATATCTCACAGGATCTTGGAATTTCTCCACCCTTATACTATTGTTAAATGAGGGAACCTTTTCGGCTTGAAAAAGCTGAATGGTGTCAAGGTCCAAAATGAATCTCTTAAGGGAGCCTAACAATTCAGCCTGGTTTTATACCAGGAATTTTTTCTTCAAGTTTAAAAATTCTTTTGATGTTCAATCAAAGTTAAGAAGTAGCTTGTTTAGAGTTTCTTTTGTAATTGCATATATGACCTTTTCCAATTTTAATTCTAACGATGCAGAATAAGTTATTCTGTCAGTCTTTGAACTAAACTTATAGGGAAAAAATATTATGGTTTGTGGAGAATGAACTTAAATAAACATGTTTCTGCTTTTTAAATTTTGGCGTCTATGCTAAATACTGAAGGTATACCTTAGTGTTTGTACTTCCATGTTAAGTAGTACAAGGCATACAGGAAAGTCAACTATTGCCTTAAAAGGAGAGAAAAGTTTTGACCTTTGACACGCGGTTTACCTGAAGGCATAGTTGTATAGACAGCATATATATATGGAAAGCATACTTTGAATGGACCATGTTTTGTCCTTGTCAAGGCAGTGCAGAGCTTGAAATTTTGCATCACGATGGTGCAGATATTGAGTATTTAGCCTCAGCTGTAATGAGGCAAAGTCTGTATCCCAGGGCTATGCATTTATATACCCTATACATCAGGATGAAAAGACAACTAGCTGCAGCTGATTGAGCAGAGATGCAAGTACTTAATGGTTGCAAAGAAGAAAAAACATCACAGTAGTATTTCTGTGACAGTAACAGAAGAATTCTCTTGTATGCTTGTGAAATGCTTTTCCTCCCAATACGGAGACATCTGGGTTGTAAAATGGCTCAAGGTTTGATGAGAAAGAGGAAAAAGTGACCATAGTTTACTGAGTCAGTATTTTGGAAAATAGATGTATCTGCTACTGAGGGTGGTAATTATGCAATAGCCCTTGCTCTACTTTACTATTTGAAACAGAAGTCTCTGAGAAAATTAACTGAACTCTACATGTGGAATCATGTTGTGGACTCACAATGCAGTTATACATCAAGCCCCAAACACAGCTGGAAATGTGGTCAACATCTTGTGATGGTTGAGTTTCAAACATATCACTTACAAATAATTGCTGAAGTAATGTCTAAACAGCAGACCAGGACATCGTCTGCCAAAAGCTGAAACTGAGTCCTGGACTGTACATTAACCTGACCATGTACGTAACTGACAGTGTCAGATAGTATTTGCTGAATGAAGAGCTTGGACATAATGTCCTGGCACCTGCGCACATCATGTTACCATCTGTAGATCAGTGTGAAAAATGGATTAATTCATACTGTTAAAATGTAAAAATACTTCTGAAATGTTGGTAAGATTTGACGCATGACTGCACATGACAGAAATGTGTGAATTATATGATAAGCATTCATGTTTCAGGTGATCTAGTCAACATGTCAATGGGACAAAATTCTCAATTTACTGAAAACCTTAAAGAAAAAACTTCATGAATCAGCAATGGGTTTCCAACAGTTCTAACATGTTTTAATTCAAAATCTTTTTCAAATAATTTCTGACTGCAACATTTCTGTTTTCTAGAAGCACCAATACGGAAAGTACAACCAACCAGGAGGACACAAGGTAAAAGCAAAACATGTATTTAAACATTTTAACATGCATCAGATGTTATTTTCTGTTAAAGTCAGGAAAGAAAAAAGTACCCTTAAGAAAACAGAGTTCAACAGGAAAGAGTTGCATTTAGGCTTCTTAAAAAAAGAAATTTTAGCAAACTTGATATTAATTACTGACTTTCTATATTTTTTTCTTATGTATTTCTATTTGAAAACAACTTCAGTTATGTGATTTGGTCAAATAGTGTTTCAGACTAGAATAAAGCTGTCAAAGTGAAATCTGACTCTGCAGACTTAACACTGTGAAAATGGCAGTGATTCCTCACCGTGGGATTTGTAACTCATTGATTCTACAATATTTTGGTCAACCAAGAAGCTGAGGTCATTGTAATTTCTGAGCTGACAGCACAACAGTAAAAGATTCAGCATCAGACTTCATGTTTCCTCTTCACATGTTCGTTTCACAACTAGACAGATTATATAGTGTAACTATATTATTTATAATTGTAGGTTAAAATTATGGTTCTTTTTCCATTTTTCACAGGGGGAACAGGACGAAGGAGGACAAGACTAGCTTATTCCTAAAAGCTTTCCAAGATAGAATCCACAGAATTACAAATTAACAACATGGTCTTTGAGAAGAAATGGATTGTGGTTTTTTTTTTAAATTGAGAACATCAGAAAACATTTTTTTTTTCAATAACATAATGTAAACTGAACCATGAATCTACAAAAAGATGTGAAAATGCAGATACTCACTGCTAGCACAGTGCTCACTAGGAGGAGTAGTCCTTTGAGGGTGCTTTGACTGCTCTTGATAGTAAGCACTATGCAAGGTGGGATCCTGGAACCACTGAGGACCACCAGCTTCTGTAGAACCAGGATTGCTTCTTATGCTGGCTAGTAAGTGTTTGCAGGATTGCATTCAAAAAGAGCAGGGATCAATACAGAGTGTATTTTTTTATTATTATTATTTCCACTAAATAAGAAATATAAATGAAATTAGATCATTTCTAGAAAAAAAATATCACTTCAGGTGACTTTTAGAGTAATCTAAAGAAATATGAGATGTTAACATAGCACTTTTGGTTCAGTAGTATTGTATGCTTTTTATCTGTCAAATTCATCATGTGTTTGATGTCATAATGACACCAGCAATGTTATGTTTTCTAAACAAACAAATATGCCTTATATTAAATGTATCCACTTTTTTTTGTTCTACATTGCATATCCAAATGCCTTCTAGTAACATGGCTAATGGAAACTCTTAAAAAAAAGGCAAACATTATGAGCTTCTTGAAATGTATTTGAGATAATGTTGACTTCTTTATTTATAAGAAAAATCATTCCCATTAAAGGAATCCTATACCAATACATATACCGAGATTCTTAAGTGGTTTTCCACTTTTCCCTGAATGTGTCTTTTGATTATTAAGGTGGATTACAAAAGGGATAAGTAAGATGCATGCAAACAATTAACTAAGCATGGAAAAATGTTTTGCAAAAATGAGGCTAGGTCTGAAAGCTTTTATATCAAAACATGCTTTGCTAATGTCTGGTACTAATGAGGAGTTGCCTGTAAATCATGTCAATTTCATGACTCCGGTTTTGTATTCACAAATGTTGTTTGCCTTTATTAGAGAAAGTGGTAAAACAATTACTCCTGGAGTAAAAAAAAAAAAAACAACAAACAACTGTTCAAAGTGCCTTAATTCTGCAGACCAAAGTTTCAGAGGAATTATCTAATGTGCTTTTATACTTCTGTTTTAAAACAAATACTCAATAAAGAATTTGGCTGAACTGTGTTTATTTTCATTTGACAATATTTTTTTGAATAGTAAAGCAAATTCTAAATATTCTTAAGTTTATAGTGTACTTTTTAGTTTAAAAATATGCTTTTACAGAAGCTATTTCCCTTTCTCACTTAGCACATACTAATGCACTTAAACTGCATCACTCTCCTTAAACACAATTAAAAACCTTCCCTAATTCCGTAATCACATACAACAAGCACTATTCCCTGAATGGTAAAGGTGTCTGAGCATTGGACTGATATGTTGTGTACCCTTACTGAGCTGTCAGTCTCCCAGTAAGGTGACCTCAGTATCTCCTATCACAGTGTTGTTGTGGAAGTTGGCTTTTAACACTGGTACATAGTGTTATCACCTACACAGCTTTTAGGTGAGAATGGGAGCTCTTAAGATTGCCCAGAGGGTGAACTGAAGCTGTCACCTTTCCCTGGGGTCTTTGGCTGCCATTAAATCATTAATCTGCTTTCTTCACTGCTGTGCCACCATGAGCTGTCACTCAAGTAAGATTTTTTCAAAGGACAGTAATGTTAGGGGAGGAGTGTGCCTGTGCTCTCCTCTCCCAAAACAGAGTAGGAGATGGGAAAGAAAATGGAATGGAGCTGACAGATAAGGTATGCACAGGAACTGGACAGAAGCAAAAGGAGGCAAGAAAATGGATTAAAACATTTTTAACTTTGCAAGTGGGAATAAATTTTTGACATCACAGAATCACTAAGGTTGGAAAAGACCTGTAAGACCCTCTAGTCTAACCATCAACCTAACACTACCGTACCCACTAGACCATGTCCTCAAGCACCACGTCTACACGTTTCTGGAACGCCTCCAGGGATGATGACTCCACCACTTCCCTGGGCAGCCTGTTCCAATGCCTGACCACTCTTTCAGTAACAAAGTTTTTCCTAATGTCTAATCTAAACCTCCCCTAATGCAACTTGAGTCCATAACTATCACCAGTTACCCAGGAGAACAGACCAGCACCTGCCTCCCTACAACCTCCTTTCAGGGACCTGTAGAGAGTGAGACATATTAATTTTGGTGTATTTTCTGCTTTGATAGCATTTTAAAGCCTCTGGTCGTCACTAAAATGCCTTTCTGTACTTCACCCTTCATTAATATAATGCAGGGGAAATACAACAGTATACAAAGACCACTCTTCCATGAACACTTC